CTGGATGAGCTACAGAAGGAGTTTATCGTCACCTATGACACCAAACGGATCAAGAGTGCCATGCGGCCCTACTCCTTCATCGAATTTGGTGAGTCTGTGGAGCTGTGCGTTTCAGCCGAAACGACCACGTGGGAAATATTGACCCTGTGCACGAGAAAATGCTAACTTCCTGGTTTGAGACCGGATGTGGGGTTGTACATTTCCGGTAGCTTTACTTTGCGGTCAATCAAAGATATAGTCCAAAATCATGTCCAAAACTCGAAAACGGAAAGATTGTGTTAAGTTACAAAGAGCAGGAGGTGGGAACACTCACCACTGTGTGTCATAAAAAAATCTAATGATCAATTTGAAAAGTGAAAAGTTTAAAGAATTTAGATCGATCAGTTGTTTACATCACTCAACACAAACACTATACATCTCTGTATAGTGACTGGTCTTATGATTTAAACAGGCAAATGTTCAGCATTCAAACTACATGTGAAGAATAGTCAAACCAGATGTTTCCCCGTTATGTCGAGATCAGCTAGTCAAGTACACGGGGGATAAATATCGACAAGTCGATGAACATCATTTACAGATATATTGGGTAAATGCCCAAGACATCTATAGAAATGTGAATCACCGCTTGATTCATTCACTTGCTTAACTTGTTTTGGACCGTAAACAAGGCGCAAATAGGACACCGGAAACAAAGCTCCCCACGGGAGTTTCTGCACCGGAAGTAGCATATGCTAACGTGCACATAGTCAATTATGTCTGCTTTTCAAATTAAAACGGGTGTCATGTCTGATGGTGCCTATCAGATGTAAAATTGGCCTCATTCTTTACAATATTCAGTTTTTAAAGTTTCTCCTGGGTAGTGCGCAAATTTTCCAATACGGGGTCACAGTCAGTAAATTTCAGATACAAAAAAGAGAGTTTGATGGCCTGGGACTAGTCAAAAAGTATTTTATGCTAGTTGATTGGATAGTTAACCTCCCAAACCTACTTATGACTTCACCTGCGAAACAAAAACCCTACATCAGTCATCGTTACCTAAAAGGTTTTTTCCTCGCCGTCGTTTTAAAGAGGCTTTTGAGGACGGGCCTCCCATATTACTCCCAATTACAACCACAACAAAAACCAATCTCACCAAACGTCTTGATGCATTCTCAATCATCCAGGAAAATAAATCTCCAAAAGTTGATTCTGTTCATCTGGACGTAGCGTTTTCTGGGGGAAACATTTCGTCATCATCCAACTGACTTCTTCAGTCTCAAATCGTATAAACAGTACATTTGCATAATGACTGAAACCAGCCCACTGAAGGAACAACGGGCTATGAGGTCAGAAACACGCTGCGCCAAAAATTGGTCCACCCCAAGGATCGGGTCCCCCGACACAAACAGAGTAACATAGTGTACGCTGTTAAGTGCAGGAGGATTGCCAGGATTTACACATCGGAGAAACCAAACAAGCTCTGGCGAAGCGGATGGCACAACACAGAAGAGCTGTCTCGTCAGGCCAGGACTCTGCAGTCTATTTACACCTACAGGCCAGTGGACACTCTTTCAAGGATGAGGATGTAACATCCTGGACAGGGAGGAACGCTGGTTTGAGGGCGGAGTCAAGGAGGCCATTTACGTGAAAAGGGAAAGACCATCTCTGAATCGAGGAGGGACCTAAGGGTACATCTTTCGCCATCATACAATGCTGTGATTGCAGCCATTCCCCAACTCTCTGTGAATGGTACTCATGGCCATTGATCAGTGGGCTTTGATCAGTGGGTTTTGGTCAGTGGTCATGAGAATTTGCATAATTAAGATTAAGGAACTGACCTCACAGTCCATTGTTCCTTCAGTGGGCTGGTTTCAGTCATTATGCAAATGTTCTGTTTATAAGATTGAAACCTGCAGTCAGCTGAGACTGAAGAAGTCACCTGGATGATGATGAAACGTTTCTCCCAGAAAACGCTACGTCCAGATGAACAGAATCAACTTTTGGAGACAATCTCACTAAAACTAAATGAGCTCGAGCTGTTATTGGCATCAACCATCAAACAAAATTTGAAAATGATATTTTAAAAAACTTGGATGCGAGACAACTAACAAATAACAAACAAATTATCCACAGATGTTTGAGTTGCACAGAGACAAAATAGCAGTTTTAAGAAAAGCTGTCTGTATTCACATAAACAGTTTGTTATGATCTTTAAATTTGACCACTGTGCTGCAGGCTGCCAGCAGCTGTCCTACTTTCTGTCACAGTCACACCTGCAGGACGCCGGCGTGAGTCTAAAGGGCAGCATGGAGCCTACTCAACGATTTATTTCAGAGCTTTGGTAACAGTATTTTACAGGTGTAAATAAACATAAAGACATGAATAAACCATTTTAAATATAATTAATAGACTAAATTAGGTTTACATATAAAACATTGTTTTTGTGGACAGTAAAGCTGAGACACTGGCCCAGCGTGTGAAATAGCATTTTTGTTATGTAATTTGTGATATGCAGTGTTTCTGTCTGTTGTTGATCGAAAATGTTTTTGTTTATTCAGAAATCATTTCACAGTTAAACCACTTCCACATTAACAGCATCTTGCTGTGTCACACAAAGGGTGCGTTTGGTTCTCCCCGGATGCTCTTTGTATTATTAATCAGCTCTTTGTTGTGCTGTTATCCCTCAGACACCTTCATCCAGAAGACCAAACAGCGCTACAATAACCCTCGTTCCCTGTCCACCAAGATCAACCTGGCTGACATGCAGACAGAAATCAAGCTGCGACCGCCCTACCAGCTCTCCCCTGAGGACCTGCGGGCTATCAATGGATTCTCAGTGCACGCGCCTTCAAAGTACAAGGGCATAGGTAGGACATAAGCTGCACACGTATGCATGCAAAGTATGAGAGAGGCTTGTAATGAATTTACATACGTACAGCATTTAAAGATGCATTTATTCACGTGCATAAGTAATATATACAGGGCGTGCATGCACATTAAATTTAGATATTTAATCTTATTGTTTTTATTATTATTTCATTCTTAACATTGATGGTACTGACCACAAGACTGTGACATGATGTACGTAGTTGCTTTTCCCTCAAAATGTT